TTGTTTTGTCCTATCGTATCTATCATATGTTGTTGTCTTATTAAAAAATATGCTATACATTCAAAAGAAATGTATTTTAATTTTATATTCTATACTTATATATAAATACATTCATGAATGTTTTTAATGAATGGATTTTATAATAATACAAATAGCAATGTGTAACATTTTACCATATTTAGTGCAACACTTTTATTTGTTCCCCACAAAATATTGTTTTTTCACTAAATGTTTGGATTTCTAAAATTATTGTGCACTGATTTTTCTAGAATAACTTTTGCTGCCGAATTATCCACTAACCTAGTTTATGATAAATGTTTGTCATAGATTATAAATATACATTATATAATATTTATAATATTTCACTATATTTTTTCATATTTGTTTATTTTATTTTTCTTTATAATGAAGTAGTCTGTATCTAGTAGATTGTGAAAGAATGATTATCAGTTCCACACACAGAGATATATAAATTCTACATTTATTTAAATGAGGGAAAAAAACTTCACTGGTATCGGATCGGGATCGGTATCGGCCAATACTGAACCCTAGGTATCGGAATCGGTATCGGAGGCGAAAAAGGCGGATCGGAGCATCCCTAGTGCAGACGATATGTTTTCATTTTAATTTACTTTTTTTTCCAAAATATATTTTATTTTGCCATCCAATCTAGTGCAGGGTGAGTAAATGATGAGACTTTTAAATTCTGGTTCACTGTACATATATATTTTTGTTGTCTTTGCCCAATCTAGAAACCAGTTTACAATTGGAAACTGGAAACTAGTGTTTGCCTGTCAACTTAAACACCACCAGTTTGCCATTTTCCAAAGATGTCCATTTCTCTACCTGACCTCTTCTTCCCGTCACTGTGAGGAATTTCTTGACCCCTGCCTGTCACCATCCTCTCATCTACTTATTCTCATGTCACTCCTTCTTTGACACTCAACTTAATACTTGATACTCAAGATAAAGGCTGGTATGAGCGGAAGATAAAGGCAGCGGACGCTCCTCGGCAGCCCAATGGTTGGCACATGCTTATTTTGACAGCTTGGAATCAAAAGGCCAAGCGTAATCATTATCTCGCGGCGACTGACAGTGCAGGTGCTTAATAAGCATGCAGTGACGCACACGCTTCCTGATTTTAGCAACCCGAAGGCTCCCATCTTGGCCTCTGATTGGTGCCTGAACACACAGGGACACTAGACACTAATTTGTGACTTGTGAACCCATTACAGCTTAATCATGGTAATTGATTTAATTAGTTTGGACACTGGCCATGGAGGGTATAAAGCATCTGGGAGCAGCGTTGTGCACAATTCGGAATTGAAATGACAATGGCTTTAAAATTCCAACTGAATTCCTGAATTTGAATTTGAATTGACAGAATGCAAGACAGGATAAAATTTAAAATGAACTGATATCTAACTAAATTAATGTACCTGTATTCATATTGTATTTATTTATATATTACGTATAACTTTGTTTTTAGTCATTTTATTTTTATTTATGTTATTATTAATAATACTGCTTCTGTGGTGCTTTTATGGCAGGATTATGTGCCATTCAGAATTAAAATTAATTAAATTAACTTATTAATTTATATTTATTATATTAAAAATGGTATATTTATATTAAATAGTTGTATTTTTAATTTAATATATTATAAATTAAGTGAACTTAAAATGCAATATTAAATAATTAAATATGCAATTTGAATTTGAATGTAAGTTAGAATGACATTATAATTTTTAACTAGAAAAGCAAAGCTTGTAAACTATGAATGTTGTTTGAAAAAAAAAAAAAAAAAAAAGATTTTTTTGGCCTTCGCCTGGAGGTGTAATATCCGGAATATTCATCCAAGTTTTTCTCTGTAGTTAAGAAATATGAAAATTAGTTTCTTTCATAAATTTCACCCATTACACCTGCCATTACCAAGCATTTTGGTGATCAGATTGCACTTGACCACATTTACAGTTTTTCTCAGTTGCTTTGGTGCATTTCTCAGATCAGAAATTAAATTCTCAAAACTACTTGTTCAACCTCCACATCATCTAGTCACTTGTGCACATCATAAAAGCAGTTTCTCATTCTTTTAAACAAGTTGCGATTGCTTTGGTACGTTCATGCAATTGATTATGTATATTTGTCTGCAGTTTCCTACATTATCAGCTGCTATTGTCATGTTGCTCAGAATGTGTTATATAGTTCTCTGTGCAATAGTCTTACCCCTCAGAACCTCAAGTCATTAGTTCATCGTATAAGCAATTAAATGCAAATGCAATTGTCATAAACTGTCAAGCATGTTTTCTACAGATTTCTATTAGACTTTTTATAAATTTGCCATGAATTGTGCAAGTGAATCTTGACTTTCACTATAATGAAGAAAATGTAGATCAGCCAATGATAAACCAGTTCTCTGAAATAGGTACATCTCATGAACCTTCAACTGGAAAGCATATATAGACAGAGGACAACGCAAGAGTCACAAATTCTGACAATGGACTTTCTCATTTTTTATTTTCACCTTTGTGCCCATATTTCTTTTTCTTTTCTGTATCACAATGACATTGTAAGGTTTTTTTTGTCACCTCTTACTTTTGAGAGATGAACTAAAGATTTTGAGTAAGTTACAGGCTTTTGCAGGTAATCCATTGTGTGGTGCTGTTTGTACAAATTGTTTTGAGAAATGCACATACTTCTTTGCAAATATTAAGGATGATTCGAGAAATGCACCAAAGCAAATGAGAAAAACTGTAAATTTTATATATACAATTTTTTTAAATAATAATTCCCTTCCACTGGAAGTGCCTCACCATAACCTCCATTGTTACAGACAGACACAGACAGACAGGCAGACAGACAGAGAGACAGATAGATAGATAGATAACACATGTGTAACAGTATATTGGATCCAGGTAGCCCTTAAAGTCTGTCATTCATGCTAATCAAACAACATAAGAGAGAAAATCTCTCACTGCTTTTGATTATATCCCTTCTGTAACTTTAATAAGAAAAATATATATGTAATTTACACAGTGATACATTTGATTACTGTATACAATGTACAGTATGTAGCATTTCTTATTTATTTGTTCTACTGTAGTTTTTGTCCTATTTCTTGTAATTAGTTTCTTATTTAATCGCTGACTGTTTACTTGTCTGCAGTTAGCTTGAGTGATTTTTTAATTTAGGCTAGTATTAGTTTTTTGTGATATTGACACTGATGACAAGAATTATGACATTTCTATGGTATCAAAAATGTTGATATCATAAAGACCTTATTTAAAGAAAAAATAATTATATTGTGATATATGTGACCCTGGAGCACAAAAGCAGTCTTAAGTCGCTGGGGTATATGTGTAGCAATCGCCAAAAAACATTGTATGGGTCAAAATTATCGATTTTTCTTTTATGCCAAACATCATTAGGATATTAAGTAAAGATCATGTTCCATGAAGATATTTTGTCAATTTCCTACTGTAAATATATTAAAACTTAATTTTTGATTAGTAATATGCATAGCTAAGAACTTAATTTGGACAACTTTAAAGGCGATTTTCTCAATATTTAGCTTTTTTTGCACCCTCAGATTCCAGATTTTCAAATAGTTGTATCTCGGCCAAATATTGTCCTATCCTAACAAACCATACATCAAAGCTTACTTATTCAGCTTTCAGATGATGTATACATCTAAATTTCCAAAAATTGACCCTTATGACTGGTTTTGTGGTCCAGGGTCACATATATTGTCATACAGATTTTGGTGATATCGCCCACCCCTAGTTATCATTATCAGTCTAGGAGTGAACAGGCCTCAATACCTTGATCACTAATCTGCCGTCTCGGTCTCGTTGAGCAGGTCACTCTTTGAGAGGAAGCGCTGGACTACAGGCATGTGACAGCCGCTGAGGTGGAGGTGGCCGGGTGAAAGATGACTTTACTGGCAGGCGATGGTTCGGATTACGACTACAGTGCTTTGAGTTGCAACTCGGACACCTCTCTGAACGCGCCGCCCATCCAGGAGCAAGAGGCCCTCAAGGGCGTTTATTACAAACGGGCGCAAAGACTGCCTCCAACCGACCTCAGCATCCCCGATGCGCTCCATCCGGACGACAACGGCAACCTGCCGTCCTGCGGCCAGCGGCTGCACGTCATCATTAACGTGGGCGGCCTGCGGTACCAGCTTCCCTGGACCACGCTGGAGGACTTCCCCCTCTCGCGTCTGGGCCAGTTGTGTCTGTGCAGCAGCTTCGACGAGATCATGCGGGTGTGCGACGACTACGACGTGGTCCACAACGAGTTCTTCTTCGACCGCAATCCCTGTGCCTTCCGGACCATCCTCACCTTCCTGCGCGCTGGGAAGCTGCGCTCTCTGCGCGAGATGTGTGCCCTGTCCTTCCAAGAAGAGCTGCTCTATTGGGGCGTCCCGGAGGAGAGCTTGGAATGGTGCTGCCGGCGACGCCTCCTGCAGCGCGTGGAGGAGTGCGACGAACTAGAGCGGGTGGTGGAGGAGTACGAGGACGATGAGGAGGACAGTGGAAGCGGATTGGCCAGGGAGTCTCGTCTTGGCCACTGGATGGGAAAACTAAGAGACATGGTGGAGAAGCCTCACTCCGGCCTGCCCGGGAAGATCTTCGCCTGCCTGTCGGTGCTGTTCGTCACGATAACAGCCGTCAACCTGTCCATAAGCACCATGCCTGCCATGAGAGAGGAGGAGGAGACTGTAAGTACCAGTTTGTCCTGTGATCTACTACTGTTCAAAAGTCTTTTTAAAAAGAAACTTTAATTAGGCAAGGATGCATTAATTTGATCAAAAGTGACAGCAAAGACATTTATAATTTCTGTTTCAATTAAATGCTGTTTTCGTGAACTTTCTATTCATCAAATGATGCTAAAATATGTATGGTTTCCACAAAAATATTAAATGTTTTCAACATTGATTATAATAATCATGTTTCTTGAGCAGCAAATCAACAGAATGATTTCTGAAGGATCATGTGACACTGAAGACTGTGTATTTAAATTTTAGTTAAAGTGTTATTAATTTTGTTGATTTTGTCATTATTATTATTATTATTATTATTCAGTTTTAGCTATTTTAGCACATTAAGTTAAAATAAATGAAAATGAGAAACATTGCTTAGGCAACTATTTGAAATAAAATAATACAATGCATTTTAAATTTATATAACTAACATGGTGCCACAGAAATTGAAAACAAATGGCAAAATGTCCTGTCATGGTTTATGGCATTGCAATGCGTATACACTTAGTGTAGTCTATATAGCAAAATGCTGTGTTTACTTACAACTTTGTATTTTATGTGTTAATCACATCTGTCTGAATCTTGATGTTTGACCATTTTCGAGTTGCTCACTTACAACCTTGACTTTATCTATCTATCTATCTATCTATCTATCTATCTATCTATCTATCTATATATCATGTATTTATTTATTTATTTATTTTTTAAACAAAGTGTAGTATTGTGAAAAGTGCTAGACATCAGAAGATCTTGCTTCCTGCAGACTGTAGTTGGAACTCCAACACACGTGAACCAGCTAATCAAGGTTTTTAAATTCACTTGAAAATTACAGCTAGGTGTCTCACAGCTCATCTCTGCAGAAAGAAAGATCTAAAGAAGCCAGATCGAGCACGCTTACTGAAATTCATCAAGCTCCGAGACCCCTGTTCACAGTCATTCTGTTCAACCAGAGCCAATCTGCTCTAGCAGACGGCTTTGCTACAGGAGAGGTCATCTTTTTCCAGAAATAATTTGTGGCAATTAGACTGACTCGCATGTTAAACCAGCTCCTACTCTAATTGAATTAAGACACCCATTGTCTCGGCTCACATCAGTCACTGGAATAATTCAAATTGCCACCCCTGGTACAGAGAAAAACAGAGCATAGGAAATTCAATTAAGCGTTAAACCAACATAGCACCAGCCAGACAGAGGCTCCTTCCATTTTCATGAATTATGTCCTTTGTGTTTGTCTCAGGCTATTTATGGTAATCTATTGTGAGGGAAAAAAAGACTGTGTAGGAATTTTCCCTCATATTTTATTAAAAGTATCTATTCTAAATATCTATTAGTATTTACTCCATGGTGACATTTAGACCAGAGGTTTTAATTTTATCTTCATAAAAGCAATGATCTGAAGGATCATGTGACACTGAAGACTGGAGTAATGATGCTGAAAATTCAGCTTTACATCACAGGAATAAATTAAATTTTTAAAGTATATTTAAATAAAAATCAGCTATTTTAAATTGTAATAATATTTCACAATATTACTGTTTTTACTGTAATGTTGATTAAATAAATGCAGCCTTGGTGAGCAAAAAAGGCTTCTTTCAAAAAAAAAAAGAAAAAATGTTGCCTAACTGTTGAATGGTAGTGTAAATCAAATTGGCATGAAATGTATTTTTTTTTATTAAAAAAGTAAAATATGTATGTATGTATGTATCAATATTAAATTAAGTTTCTGGACGATATACAGATAATCTGATATATATATATATATATATATATATATATATTGTAGTGTGTGTGTATATATAATAAAGACACACCACTATAT